CAGCAATATATATCATGTGCCTCCAGTGGAAAATCCTGGACTAGTACTAGCAAACTGTGCTGTTAAAATGCTGTTTATAGCTATCAATGTTTTGATATTGCCTCCAGTGGGAAATTCTGAACTAGTAACTGAAATTTTTGTTGATTGCTATGTTTATATGCATGTTTCCTATGTTTTGACTATAAAGGTCTAGCTGCTACAAGCAGTGCAGTCAATATACAAGTACTGATATATACAGGGTTGTCGATTATTTATGTTTTATATAGCAAGATTACATATATATAGTATATATTAAATTGTTTTTTTCATCTATTATTAGAAATCTTTATTATTGCCTTATATTTTCTTGTATTACAAAAAATTGATGACCAAATAAAATATTTTACTTTTTTAAATGACCTTATTCACAATTTGTTGAGTATTCACCTGGCTATTTCTAACACTGCTATTGATTTTTACCAGAATGTAAATATATCAAAAGTTTTTGTATACTATATATTTTTAAATTTATTAATAATAAAATAAAAAATAAAAAAATTGATGAAAAGATTTCTTCAGGTTTCTTAATTGTTGTGAAGATGACATAAAAATTATTGCCAATGCTTTAAAAGCTGACATTGCTGAAGCAAAAAAAAATAAAAAAAAATTTATAAAAATTTTGTAAGTTTAAATTTTACATGTTTTTTTAAAATCAGTATTAATTTAATTACATTATATTATAGGTTAGAGAAAATCTCTTGACTCAAAAGTATTTTGATGAAGTACATATAGTAAAAACAATATTTTTGGATCCTGTTCCTAGTTACGATGAAAAAAAAATAAAAGGAAGGTAAATTTATAAGAAAAAAAACCCCTTGCCTTCTGTCTTGTAAGAATGATAAAAAAAAATAAAGAAATAATAATTTGTGACAAAACCTCAAACAAAGTAATACTTGCTGTATATTGAAACTGAATTGACCCTAATATATTTGAACTTATGAAAAACACAATTGCTAATATGTTTGTTTTGCGAAAACAAAGTTTCCTGATTATCTGAAATAAAAAAACTGGACTAATGTACTTTAACAGCAGCAGGATATGTTGTATTTAAATAAATTTATTTTCGATTTTTTAAATTTTATTAACATATAAATACTTGCAGGTACCTTTTGACAAGAGAAAGTGGAGTTTTTATACATATCCATAATATACCTATAGAATTGCAAGGATTTGAAAGACAATATTTGCAAAAAAAAAATGTTGTAGTGATGAACAGTTTTCTTTTTAACTATGTCATGAATATATTTCTTGAGGATGTAACTTCAAGTATTCAAAAAAAAATCTAAGAATTTGATTTTTTCTGATTGGATGGCAACCAGTATAGTGTTGTTGATAAAAAAATTACAATCTCTTGCAATGACAAAAAAATTTTTTTAAACTATTCTTTAGGTTTTTGTGAGGCCTATGTAGCCTAAAGATATAGTAAGTTTGCATATACCGATATTAATTTTTTAGAATATATGATTGCAACAATCTGTTTGAGAGAAATATGACCTGCCAATAGTAATGAATTCGATTGTCAGAAAGGAGGTTCCGATAGTGGTAATTTTTATTTAGCCAAATGGGAAATTAAAGTAGAAATGACAGGTATTTTTTAAAAAAATATTAAATTTTTAAAAATTTAAAGTATTGGCGATTTAAACTTTTAATATTTTTTTAGGAAATACTCTTTACTATTGGTCAGAAGATAAATTGTATAGCATTACAGTCTTGCTGATAAAAGGTGTAACTTGTGAATTGTCATAAAATTTGGTCAAAAAAACAATAACAGCTATAAAAAAATAGAGGAAAGAAAAAGAAGAAAAATATTATGTCGATTACTGACATAATCAATTATTGACAGATTCCTATACTTTGCAAGCTCTTGAAAATTTGATAAAAAAAAATAGTGAAAAAAATAATACTAATTACAAAGGAACATATATAAATATAAAAGACAATAACCGATTATAGATAAATTAGATATAAAATTTCAAGTATCTTGTAATTAACAAGTTTTTAAATTAAAGTAAATATGCTTCCATAAAAATATATATTGACAAAATGTTTGAATTGAATTGAATCAAATCAAGTAAAATTAAATTTGAATCTGGTTTAAGTCAAATTGAATCAAGCTATATTATGTCTGATTCAAATTTGAACTGTATGTCTAAAAATGAATTAAATTGAATCTAACTAAAATCTGATTTAATTTGAACTGCTGTGATTCCTACTTAGGAGAAAATAAAAATGGAGAATTGATAACAGGGAGGTATTTTAGATAGAAAAGATCAATATAATAAGCTAAAGTTCCTAGAGGCATACAAATTAGTACAATTATGAGGTATATGAGGTCAGACAAAAGAGATAATGGTAATTTGTTTTTGTAAAGGCTAATTTATTTATTTAATAAAATAAAAATTCAAATCTATCAATTCCTAGATGAAACTGGAAACTTTATATATATGTTTGAGCTATATTATTTTTGTACATAATAAATATATGCTATAAACTTATTTAATTTCGATAATTTCGATACTTTTGGTTTGGTATTAATATTGTAAAGTTTCATATCAAAAATTTTCAGTAATTATCAATATTGATACCAAAAAATATTTTTGGTATCGGTTTTATGAAATATCATATCAAATGGTATTGATTGGAATCCTAGCTAGAATCTAACCTTATATAATAGACTTATATTGTTCGAAAGATAAGTGAGAAAATTTTGTTGTCATCATCAGCTCATTTTTGGGAGCAATTAGAATCCCTGGTTATCACATATTACTCTACTAAATTTTTTAATTATTAGCATAACATCTGCAACTAATCTAGTTTATTACTAGTTGCATTGACATTGGTTATTATTTCATTTTGAATATTGTGGAACACAACTTCTTGAATACTTTCAGATAACAATAGTTGTACAGAGATTTCTTGGACATATCTAGTCTAATTGTTAATCAGTAAACAATATTGAGTTTGATAATGATGACCATGTTATTCTTTTGGAGAATATAAACCATCTGTTCTTTTTCTAAGGGATTATGAAAAAAAGAAAATTTCTTGAAGTTCATATCTTAAGAAAGATTACTACTTTTTAATACAGTCCTTGAAAGAAGAGAGTTGACTAGTCAGAGGAGTGATATTATGAAGATGAAGTTTTCAAAAAAAAAAGAGAGACCTAGAGAAAAAAACCTTCAGGAAAAAAGAAAAACCTAGCTTTGATAAAAAAAAAAAAAGAAAAGAGGAAAGGGAGATATATAAGATAAAAAAAGTATATAAAAGAAAAAAGATAAGATAAATAAAGGGAAATAAAAAGATATAAGAAGGGGAATATAAGAAAAGGATAAAGGAGAAGATGAAAAAAAGTAAACAACTCAAAAATTTTCTAAAAAAGAAATTTTTAAATGTAGAAGGGAGAATAGGAAAGAGTTTTATTATTATTAATATTATTGTTATTGTTATTGTTATTATAATTATAAATTAATTTAAACTGGTTTGATTATTTTAGTTTTGATAATATAATAATTTTTAATTAAATAATTATTAGACATTAATTAATTGAAAAAAATAAATTAATCTTAATTTTTATAATTAAAAAAAATTATGAATTTTTTTGAGTAACATAATAAATATTATCAACAAAAAAATATAAGTAAAAATTGAGTTAAAACAAATATAAGATTCTATAATTTTGTTTGAATATATTTTTTAAAAAGTATTTATGAATTTAACAAGTATAATAATAATAATAAAGATAGTTATTATAATATTAAAAAAATATATGTTATAAGAAAACAATAAAATAAAAATAAGCTATTATAGATCTTTCTTTATATAATTGAAGAATAAATAAGATTTTCAAATTTGAATAAACTTTAACTAAGAATTTTATTTTATTGTATCAATTGTTTTTAGTATTTTTAAGTTTTTAAATAAAGATTTATTTATAATAAAGAGTATACAATATTTTTTTTAATTTAAATTATTATATAAAAAATTTTTTTAGAAAAACAATTGCAATTAGAAGAGAATTTTTTTTTATTATATAGTTTAAATAATAATAATAATTATTATTATTTTTTAAGGGGCTAAGGTGTGATACATGCGCGGATTTTAAGTTTAAATAATTATTTTAATAAATTAATATTTAACTTATATAATTAATATATATATATAGTATATATAAGTTTTGAAATTGACAAAAGAATTAACAAAAATAATTATAAGTATTTTTTTTTTAATTATATAATTAAAATTTTATTTTTATATACTGTAAACATTTCAAATATTTGATAATGAAATAATAATAAATAAATAAAGTAAAATAGATTTCAAATTCAATTAAAATATAAAAAAAAATACCAATAAATTATTTTATTTTAAAAAAACAAAAAAAATTATTTCAAATCTAAAATATTATTATATAAATAAATCAATTTAGTGACAAGTTAAAAAATAATGTTTTAAGTAGAACATTTTAGGTAGGAAATTAAATCACGTATTTGCGTATCACAAACACAAATTTAAACTCCAATGAATGGTGATAAGGCAAATGTGTCACGACAGTAAAAAGTTTGCAAAAATGGAATTTTTAAAACGAAACCTATGCCAGTTAAGCTCTTGCATGTCTTCCAAACGATCTGCTCAATCTTACTTCCTTTCGGACAACGAATTTTTTTCTAGTCAGGAAATTCGTTATATAATAATCATTCCTTTTATTTATTTTCCGTTTACTTTCTTTTAACTTTCTTTTGGTCTCCACATCCTTTTTTTTGTATTAGATTCACCTTTTCATAGTCAATAAAAATCAAACCTTCTTTGGCTTAATCTCGATTTCCCTTTTTCATTTAACGTTTATAAACTCAACTTTCTTTACTTCGAAAATTCGACATTTTTTCGAAAGAAGACTTTATAATTTAGAAAAAAATAGAATATTTCACATAAAGTAGTCTAATCTTAACATCAAAAAGGGGAACATGGAATTGGACGGTGATACTAAAACAATGCTTTCTTTGATTAGCAAAATCGGAGACAAGGTCGGGATGCATAATGAGTTAGTTTGATATTTATACTTGATCTGTTGTTTATTTCTGATCTTTTTTTTTTTGAATCAAATGTTCTTGTGCATTTTGATATTATTTGGTTAATCAAAATAGTTACCATGTAAAAGTGGCAAAAAGTTAGAAGTCTTGGAAGGGGATCCGCTGATTCAACAAACTGTCAATGCTATTGTTGATTTATCACGTTTTCGACTGAGTATAATAGTCAACTATCTTACCAATCTTTTGGAAAACATTTCACAGGTAAACATCAATTATTATATTTTATGACAATTGCATATGATCTCATTCAAATTTACACGCATTTACTCAAATTTTGATTGTGAAAGTCATCATCTACAACCTTGGAGGAATTTGTTCCGATTGAAATACTACAGTCGCAACTATTTATCCTAAAAATTATGTCAGCATCTATGACGCATCATTGGAAATGTCATCGAGGACAAAGAGATATTGAGGCGATGGCACAAGTACCCCATTCTTCTCCAGAATTACCACCAATATCACCAGCATCAACTGGTAGTGAAGATTCGTCTATATCTTCCCCCTCTCAACCAAATTTAAATAACGCGTTACCACGATCTGAACAACGACAATTTCGACCACCGAAATCATGGGACGATCCACCACCATTGGATGAATCATTAGCTGTGTATATCTTAAATGTGCTATCGAGATTTCTCCATCAGATGGCTAATCAGGAGGAAAACAATCCGAATTTACAACAAAATGGAGGACAAAATACTAATGGTAACAACCAAAATTCTGCACAATATTTAGCTACATATGAGATCGTCTGCGAGATCTATAAAAACGCCGGTCGTGTGATATTTTATATCAGCGCATCGAACTGGAATGTTGTCTTTTCTAAGATTAAAAGTCGGATTAACTATCTAACCACTACAAACGACGAATGGCCTGAAACTTCAGAGCTGAAACTGTTGGAAGTATCAGATTTAAATTCTAAGAGATTATCGATGGTTTTGCAAGGTAGTTAATTGGATATAGACTTAATTATCCTTTAAAGCTTCCTAGAGACTGAAGAAATTGATGATTTTTTTTTTTTTTAGAACTGTGTAATACATTTATGCATTTAAGAAGAACGGCGCAAGTAACAATGGCGATAGTTCTACGAAAAGCAATATGGAATTGGATCGAAGTTTTTCCCGCTGAATTTGTGAAATTATGCCAGTATCAGGAACGGATGGAGGGAGGACCAGAAAGACTTTTTGATATGTGTAATAATTCGGCTGACAGTAAAGGTCGCAAGGCTGCCTTTTGGCCTTTACAAATAATGTTGTTGATTTTGTGCCCGGATATTTTGCTTAACTCTATGGATAAGACGATCAATGCGAATAAAAAAGTAATTGAATTTTTTAATAAATTTATTTGGTTTGATGTATTTGTTTACTGTCGTTCAGTTATTTAATTTGAAAATTTTCAATAATTGAATAGGATCTCTGGTCAGCCCGGCCTACACCTAGAGTACATATTATCGATAATCTCTCTGAAACAATGCTATAACGATTGACTAACTTTGTTTTCAATAAATATAATTATGCTTAATTATTAGGCTCAATTTTTGGATAATCTGAAAAGGCATTTACGAGGAAGAAATTTAGCTGATGTTGCGGCTATATGCTATGTAGATATTTGCAAGGCTTCGACATATGTTAACTCACATGATTCTTCGACTTTAAGAACGATTATCCCTGACATTGAGAGTGAGTTAAGGGTTAGTGCTTGACTTTGTTGCAATTTTATTTAATTATTTTTATTGGTTAAAATGTAGTACAGGTGGCGCTTTTGATGATCAATGTGTCACCTATACTACATTTTAACCTTTTATTTTTTCTTATTTTAATCAACATTTCTAATTTAAAATTGTATTATGTACTAATATTCGTGATACAGCATAAGTTATTTGATCCCGACAAACCATTCCCGAGTAGTGACAATGTAGATCAACAATTGATGACCGATTGTTTGATAGCTTTGTTCAAACTAAATCCAAAGGAAACATTATCCACCTTGGTACCTATTTGTTTACGTGAAAATGCACCAGGTGCTTTCAAATTAGTGCTTGTAAAGAGTTGTAATACCATTGCCTCTGAGGTGAGTTACATATAGAATTTATACTATATTTTGCTAACAGATTTCTAATACTATTGAACTAATTTTTGGTTAAAACACTGACCCAATAATGATCGAAAAATCGAATCTTTCTATCTTAGGAGGATCGTTTGCCATGGAATCCACAAATTTCATCGATGCACTCAAAATTGGCCTCACCTTTAAGAAAATTGTTTCAAGATCTATTGGAAAATCGTAATAAAGTCAAAAGTAAAAAAGCGACGACAGAAAATTCAGAGATAATTCTCAATCTATTAAAATTATATCGATCGGATCCTAAGTTGGCCATAGTGGTATGTAGAAATACCTGTCATTTTGATATAATGTTTTGAAAAACTCCAAGATAATATTCATTGTTAAAATTATAAACCTTAGGGAAAAGATGTAAAAGAGCAAACGAGTGAAAATCAATCGATAATTTTGGGAATCGCCGAGTATTTAAATGACTCCAATAGTTTAATTAAGATTAGTGCAGCCGAGGCTTTGATGGAACTTCATAAAATTGACCTCATCGGATTGTGGGGTACACCATTACAGAATTTCTGGATTATAAGGTAAGAAAGATACTTATATATTATTTTCTTTGGTACAATAATTTATTTAACATTAATTTTGCATGTTTATTGAATCATAGTTCACAGATTACTCTTACAGTAGCGACGCAAATCTTGGAAAAGGAAAAAGATGAGGGGCCTAAATATATGCTAGATTTATTATGTAATCTATTATTTCGACGCAATGATTTCCTTCGAAGTCAAAAAGTACACCAAGTTTTAATTATTTCGTATCATCATCTACACTTTGACTGAATTTGATTCATTAATTAGTTTGTGTACTCAATAATTATTTCTCATAGGACAAACCTCTCAGATGCAACAATGTTCCTGATCGTTTGACTTCAAATATCAAACTAGAAACTGCTTGTTTGGTCTTGCTGTGCTCCTCGGACTCTGAAATTTGTTCGATGGCATTAGAATGCATTAATCTCATGTATTTGGAAGCCCTTTTAACCACCGAGAGTTTTGCGAATGATATGGAAGCCACCGAATTACCACCTCCACAAATGACCATTGTAGAAAATATTCAGGTATACCAAGAACTGGCTCATAATCAAGGAGTGTTTGCCGGTAGAATGGCCCAACAAAGACGTATTCGTAAGTTGCTGAGAATGATGGTACAACCAACCCCTGGTAATCTTGGTGCATGGGAAGAAGCATGGGATAGGTGGAAGACGTTAACTCAAATTATAGCGAAACCAGTCGAAGATCCAGTCCCCGGACCTATCATTGCAAGGAGACCCATTATGTTTTTCAGTCCTGGCTCTCCCTTAAAGTCACAAAATTCAGCTATTACTTCTGGGTTATCTGATGTATGTATTCATTTTTGGGGGTGAATCACTTTTCTAAGGATATTCTATAATTCTTGTTGTGTTAATTGATTCTAAAATAGGAAGAATCAATGGAATGGAATCATTACACTCGATTCCTCGCAGCGTTAGGCGGTTGTTGTGTCCAAGACAGGTTTATAAACGCGTCACGCAGGACATCTATGCCACATCCAAATGATTATCACTCTATGGTGGAGAAATATATACAAGAGATGGTAGACTTATTGGTTTGTGACAGTAATTATGTCCGTGAGAATGTTAAGGACACCCTTGGAAATGATTTAAGTCCAAGGCTATATGTAATACTTTTCCATCACCTCGAATCAATAGTGTCAAGATTTCTTGACTCTGCTAATCCCAATGAGCGATTTACATTGTTTGTGGACCAAGCTATACATGTGCTAAAGTTAATTTTAGAACGGATTCATGACGCATCGGATAATCTCTATGCATGTGATCTTGGTGGATTGGTTCTTTCGTTCGCAAGGTATTTGAATAGACTGGGCGCTGGTAATAACGCGCTAAAGATCAAAAAACGAATGTGCCAGTTGGCTGAAACGTTGATGATTAAAAAAGAATATGTCAGTCTTCGTCAAGAAATAAAACTAAGAAATCTCTTGTTGGAGATTATTATTGAGTGGACTTCTGATTTCTCAATGGTATATAATTACATAATTATTTATAATTATTATTTTATATTGATGTTGTGTTTCATGTTATGATTAAATTGAATAATCTTTTTGTGTAGAAAACCGATAGTTCGAGCGTGAGCGAAAATATGTCAAGCAAAAATGAAAGGTTACATCGGGACCTGGATTCAGCATGTTTGAAAACAATAGTTGAGCTGTTGTTGCAACTGCCCTTGCAACCGAGCGAAAATGCTCATGAAGCCGACTTAAGTCAAGTCAAATCCCAATTATTCTTTAAATATTTTACATTCTTCATAAAGTTATTAAGTCGTTGTCGTATTTTGGAGGTGAGGGGGGTTTTTTTTTCTTTTTTAAGGATTTAAACAACTGATGATTCTTTCATTGGTAACATAATCACCAACTTTAATTATTTTGATGCTATAAGGCGATTGATAGTGGGACACACTCTGCAAAGAATAATCAAGATTTACAGATGTTGCTTTCAAAGGTATTATTCACATTACTTATTAACAAACGAGATTTTAGTTAAGAAATAATATTTTTGATCATTCTGATACGTGTCATTTCTACGTTTCTCAGTCTAAAGAATATGTCAAGGACCTTGGACCATTAAAGGACTACACGATTATTGCATTATCGAATCTTCTAAGTGCAAATGTAGATTCCGGTCTAAAGTATTCATTATCTATGGGTTATCATGAAGACACAAAGACTCGAACCGCATTCATGCTAGTCCTCAGAAACATTCTTCATCGAGGAACGGAGTTTGAAGGTTTAGGAGAGAATGCTGTTAAAGATCGTTACGAAAGACTTGTTGAGGTTCGAATTTATTTTAAAGAAAGGTTGTTAATATTAACCGTGAACATTTTGTAAGAACTTTTAATTTCGTCTTTATAGGTCATTACTTCCTCAGATCTTGAAATTGCCCTGTCACTTTGCGAGGTCTACCAGGGACCGGATGCAGAGGAGTTTGTTCGTGTAATGGCAGCAGTTTTTGAGTCTCGCGATAGGTTCTTGGAACTGTTGGAAAAAATATTTGACAAGGAAATTAAAAACACAGGTAAAAATCTATGGAGACTTTTTTTTATTCTTCATTTTTTGTTACCTCGTTCTAATACTAATACAATGGGTAACTTCATAATTTTTAAGTATATGAGAACGATGTTTTCAGGCATACCACTATGGCCACAAGACTGTTGGCCGCATTTGTTAAATCACAGGGAGCTGAATACCTTAGAGAAACACTACAACCAGTCGTAAATGAAATACTATCTAAACCAAGCAATTTTAGTGTGGAAATAAATCCTGATAGGATTCCTCCTGGCGAAAATATCGATCAAAATTTGAGTAATTTAAAGTCTGTGACAAAATCATTCCTGAATGCCATCTTTTCTTCTACGGAGAATATGCCTAGGTATTATCATAGTTTGGCTTTTCTTCAATATTAACGTCGTGGAATTACATGATTTTGTCGGCCTAAAAAGGAAATCTTTTTTTTTAGATCCTTCAAAATTTTTTGCTATAATATCGCGAAAACCATTGAAGAAAAATATCCTGGTAAATCATTGACGACAATCGGATCGTTCATATTTTTAAGATTTTTCAGCCCTGCGATAGCCTCACCAGATAGCGAGAATATTTGTAAACCCATAGAAAATATCAGATTTAGACAAATCTTTTTATCAAGCGCAAGAGTAATACAAAGTATAGCTAACATACGGAATGGTATAACGTTTGGGGGTCGAGATACATACATGAATGCGATGAATGAATTCTTGCATGAAAATTTAGACCGAATGAATGAATTTTTAAGGCAAATTTCGGTAAATATATTATTTATAGCACAATTTATTTGATCTATTAGTCACATTTTATTTATTTGGTTATGTCGATGTTTTAGCAATTACCGATTTCAACACCATCATCAGAACTAAAATTGGGCGAAACAACTGCAGCCGCACGAGTATTGGATGACACAGACAACAAGGCCTTGCATAGACATCTGTATCATAATCAAGAAAAGATGGGGAGGGATTTACAAACTCGACGACTCATGTATGGATTGGCTGGGAATTTAGATAATGAACAAGCTATTAAACAAGCTTGGGATAAAATATCAACATTACTAGCTCAACTAGGTCCCCCGCCAGAAACGTCAAAGAAGGAAATTATGAGTGTTACGAGTCAATCCTTTGCAAACAATAACCATTTCTTCCAAGAGTTCATGAGGAGAAACATTAATCGTGCCACAGAACCTATTGTATCGAAGGAAATATTTTATGAAGGTGGGCCCTCGAAGGCTCGTAGACCGGTTTTCTATTACATTGCACGTCGTCTTGAAGCCGAAGCTACCGACATGGAACTTTTGATGTATCACGTTCTTCATACCATCAAGTCACATATGAGTAGACCTTTCGAAATCTTGGTGGATTTAACGCAATTCGGAGCGTCCAATGAGATACAATCTCAGTGGGTTCAACACTTTACGCAAATATTGCCATATGAAGTTGTCGAAAACCTCTCAAAATTATATTTATATAACACAAATACAGCTTTCAAAAAATTTGTGAAGAAAATTTCACGTTCTCTACCACAACAGATATCTAAGAGAACGGTATTTTGTTGTTCTTTAAATGAACTTCATGAGTACATTGCACCATCTGAAGTGCGACTCCCGAGAAGCACGTCATGTCTCGACGTAAGAAGAAACCGTAACACCTTCTCTGTGACTAGAATTTCTCATTATCGAGTTCATGTTTCTGTGACCATTAAGATATGCAATGAATACGTTCAGATTATAACGGTATCCATTGAATTAAGACGTTTCTCTCGATTTATTTTGAATGCCTTTATTCCATTAATCATTAATTTTTTTTTTTCCTTATCCCTACAGCAAAAGAGGCAAGACCTTATTAATGGGTTAAGTTGCCAACTTAATGATGTCTATCACATCTCTGAAGTCGAAGATGTCAATAATTCCCGTAAGAATGACGAATTTGAGTTCTTTATCAAACCAGATCGTGGTAGACCATCACTTTCATTTACAAGTCCCAAAAGAGATGCAATCATACAGGCGATCCGATCTTCAAAGGTAGGTACTGAAGTCATTTGTTTTTTAATAGAGTAACGCTCAAGTTTTAATGTGATTGGACCTTAGGCCAGGTACCAAATTACGAAACCAGCCACCATCACTGAGAGAGTCATTCGCCCTAACGGCGTACCTGGTACATTATTGAATATGGCTTTGTTAAACATTGGAAGCGAGGATCCAAATTTACGGTCGGCGGCATATAATCTATTGGTCTCTTTGAGTCTCATTTTCAATTTTGACGTGGGCAATCAATTACTCAGTGCTAAGGGGCTTTGCATTCCAGCGAATAATAGCACATTTGTTGTTCAAATGAGTACAAGGCTTGCTTCGACCGAAACGTACCTTACCTTAGAGTTCCTGTCGGATTTCTTTGATGGTTTCTACAGATCGAGCCCAGCACAAAAACACCTATGTCTTCAATACATGAACCCGTGGCTTCAAAATCTTGCTTTCTTTTGCAGAAATGTGTCGGAAAATCAGACTAACGTTAAGAATACGCGAGATATTATCAAAAAACTAATTGACATGACCACTAAAGAAACTGAACTCTACACGGCAATTCAAGCTAACGTTTGGAATAAGTTGAAACAGGTTGATGAGATCACAAATATCATAATTGATGAATTTATAAAATACGCAGTTGACCATGGTATCAGTTCCTCACAGGCTGAAACGGTGGCCAATACAATCGTCACTTTATCTTCGGTTAATGTTCGCGGAAAAATTGTATCTAGACTTCGTAGTGCTATCCTAAGAACCTCATCGGCAAAAACCAAGACGCTCACAGACAATCCAGCGTGGACTGAAATTGCGGTTCTAATTCGATTCAATCTAATGTTGTCTTTCAACAATAATATTCAGCTATACTTGCCCGAATTATTTCACATTATTTCACTTCTTGTCGCTACTGGACCTCCTCTCATCAGAGCCTCAGTTCACGGATTGATTGTTAATCTAGTACAATCATTGTGCACCTCTCAACAACTCGGAGAAGAAAATTATAAAAGGCTAACGCTATTACTGACAGAATTGTCCGATCCTAATTTTCACTACTTCTTTGGCTTGAATCAATCAGTTAATAGTGCATTTTCGATATCACCGGAGTCCACGCGAAATTCTTCGGAAACAATGCCTCTGAGTTCGTTGGAAACTGTAATTCAAGCACTTTTGGAAGTTATTATATGCGGCGCACCTTCTACAGACACTTCAAATGCATGGCGAGCACGTTGGATGGGACTAGTAGCGAGCACAGCATTCCAATATAACCCCTCGATACAACCAAGAGCTTTCGTTGCACTTGGTTGTCTAGCCCGAGAAGAAGTTGATGATGACCTTCTATATCAGATTTTAGTTACCTTAAAGACAGCATTGAATGCATTTTCAGAGACGGACTGCTCACTAATAGTCAGCATAGTGATGTGCCTCACGAAAATAGTCGAAAACCTGACCGAGAATTCAAAATATCTTAGACAAATGTTCTGGCTAGCGATGGCTCTCATTCAAATAGGGCACATACCAATATTTCCAAGTGCTGTACATTTACTACTTACTGTCCTTCGATCATTCGACGCTCATAATTTCTTTGCAGAAAAAGACATCGCTACAGTCCTCTTAAGTTATCGAGAACCTTTGAAAGAATTGGCAGAAGAAATGGATAAGGAAAATGGAATTAATTATAACCATTTTTCATTCGCGGTAGCAGCCGCATTACTGAAAGGGCTAAAAAATACCACTACAAAAACATCCACGGTAACGGTGCTAAAGTTGTTCCTTGAGATAACTTTTAAAGGGCTAGAAACAAGAGAACAAAACATAATTCATGCGTCTATGTTGGGATACTTGGCAGCTTGCCTACCAGCATCAGCGAAAACGGCGGATATGAAGGAATTACTATGGCTTTGTGGAGTTTTTAATTCTGAGTTAGAAAATACAGAACTCGCCACGACTTATTATCCGATAATGGACAGACTAGATATTCCAGACAATCAGACAGCGCTATTATTAATATCTTTAATGGTTACACTTCTCCAGAATGCCGACAGTGAGTCGGAAAGAGTATTCTTGTATGGATTCTTAGCGGAAGCGTCAATCACCGTACCGGAAGTTTTTGCTCTAGTGTATGTTTTTTTTTATTTAATGATATATCATTATTATTTTAAAAAGCAATTTTTATTTTCGCATAAAATTAATCATATGATTATGCATATTGACAGTTACGACGTACTTCAACCGAAGATGAGACAAATAGTGGAGAACAGTAGTTCTCTATCGATTCTAGATGCTGTGCAGCAGATTTTAATTACAGTTGTATCGGAACCTCAATATATGAGAACAAGAGGAGATCACATGTCTTATTTAGAAGAAATTGGATTTAAACACTTGATGGACTCGGGTTCATTTCAACCTGTAACCAAGGAGAAAATGAAGGTGAATGCAAAGTTGGCGAGTAAACTAGTTGGTTGTATGATTATAATTAAATAATAATAGTAAACTTGTATAATTACCCCCATGTTATATATAGTATCCTCATGTTAGTAAGTTAGTACATTATTTTTTTATTATGAAAGCCGATTTACAATTAATTATCATTAGTGTGGTTATTTTGTATCATATCAGTCACTTCAACTTATCATCTCTTATGACTTTAAATATGCATACAGTATTTCCGCTACAAACATAACATTCCTTTTTTAAAATTTATTATTTGTAAATTTGATGATAAGAGTATAGTAATAAATTATTTCGACAAAAAAATATATATAAATAGCACTCCCACAGAGAAAAAAGTTAAAATTTCGTCTTTGTTCAGGAATTCTATTTTCCTGTTTTGGTAAATAGTATTTAAAGAACAAAGCACAGTACTTCCTGAATGTCTAAAAAATTCGGTTAAATTAAATTCACGTTTATCTGTCACCAATTCTTCATAAAAATTCTAACTATATGGCAGCACGTAAGTCCATTATAATTGATGATTAATACTCCCTAGGAACTTACTTTAAAATTATTATATTATCAATTCCACTATCAAATTAATTTTTATTTAACCTTTCACAGAATATATGCAGTATATTCTACATCCAGTATACAAGTATTTATTATATAATGTTAAGGTAAGTTGAAATGTTTTTTCTAGTTGAGATTGAGATTTGATTTGGTAAAGTTTATATTAACAAATGTGAGTTTTGTCGGGTTTCTTCAGAGGGCTTAAAGCTTTTTTGATAAAATTTACTTAATAAAATAAATTTATTGATTATTTTACAGTAGAAATACAATTAATTACCGTAATTATTTTTGTAATTATTTTTTTTTAATAGCTTTGCATATAATAATAAATATAATATACTGTATAATTAAATTAAAATAATAATTTTTTTCATTACAAAAATTAATGTTTCAATCATGTAATATGAAAATCATATTATATAAGCATGTTTATAAATTTTATTTTATTTTATTTTTTATTGCAAACAAGTATAAAATGTGAAATTTATTGATTAATTAAAAATAATAGTAAACATTTATTTAAGTTAATAATAGCCTATTGCATATAAAACTTTTAAAACAATATTATATTAAATATGTGATATCATAGCAAAAGTGATTTATAAATAGCTTATGCTTGTTTATAAACAGGTAAAATAATATAATTATTGAAAAATTTGTTTTGATTTGAAAAATTATTGTGATATTTATATTATTATTATTATTATTATTATTTTAGCAAATTAATATTAGTTTAATTCTTGTTGAGTTGAAATATTAATAATTAATTAATTATTAAATAAAAGTTGAATATTTAAAAAAGTTAAATTAATTTTGATTTTTGAGTTTAATTGAAATTTTGAAATTTTTTTTTTATAAATTTGTTTGTTTTTAATTTTTATTTGAATTATTTTATTTGTTTTTTTTAAAAAAATATATTGATTATTTAATAAATAATTTTCAATTTAAAATATAACAATTTTTTATAATAATGTAAAATTATATTTAATATACATATGATATTAATTAAATTAAATTATTAATAATTTGAAATTTTTTGATTTTAACGACTGGCGTATACCATGTTTTATTAGAAAGAATTTACGGTACATATATATTCCCTTTATGAAAACTGACTACTACCTATCTACATCTGATGAAACTACCTAGGAAAAGCTCTTATGACTTACCTACCAATCGACTTATTGCCCTCCATTCTTCCTATATTATCAACACCGGGGCCCTGATAGTATAGGTAGAGTGCTAATGTGCCAGGATGTGCACCTTCCAATCCCACCCACCATCCGATAAATAGAAACTCAAAGAACCATATCCTAATACGATCAGCCACGGATCTAAGCCATATCCACAAGGAGTCTTTGTGGCTCTAGCTATGGTCACTTGAAAATCGGGGGTTGTTTCTTTTATAGTCTCGTGGACTAAAGGGGAAAGAAATCATGCTCCATGCATGAGAATCGGAGGAAGCACCAAACTTGACAATAATCATTGTAACACTGCTGTACGATTATTATGCCTTTACGCCTTTTCTTGGTATCACAATCTCAATGCCCGTTGAATCAATGTGTGAATTGGCTTCTTATAGGAAACAGCATATGTTAGGTTATAGTGCCAGATATCATATTGAGGCAGTCCAATTGCCTTCATCAGGAACTGAACTTGGTATCTTGTGACAGCAATCAGAAGATGTCAATTCATTTCTTTTGGTTTGAGGTTTCCACGTTAGCCCTCTGGAGGATTTGAACCATTGTCTTGAAATCTGACCTGCGGAGCACTAACCACTGTGCTATAGACCCACAGATCAAAATTGCAAAAAATCTTTATATGTAGTTTTTTTTTTATAGTAAGGGACATTTGAATTATGTTCTTGTCTTTAATTTAGGGACCCATCTTTAATAGTAATTTCAATTTCTTTCCCTTTTCTTTATACTTATTCTTTTCTATTCTTGTTATTTTTTTTATTCTGCAGGTCTTGTTATTTGTTTATCACTTTGCAATTTGTCAAATTCAGTGTTCTTTCTTGGTAATCTCTATAATTTATAATATTGTTATCTTTGTCATCGATGCTATTGGAGGTGGTAGTTGCTGTAAGTATAGTCCTCTACTTTTTCTTTAGTTGTTCATTAGAAAATTTTTTAGTGGAGATCTCTATCAAAAAAAAAATTTTCAAAAATTTTTAATATAAAATTTTTTATTATGATAAACTTCCTTAAATAAGTATATTTTTTTTACTATTTATCACACCAGTAATATAGCATTCATATAATTAAATTGATATGTAACCATAAAATATAAAAAACAAGCATCGATTTTTTTATTAGCTACATTATTATAATTGATCAGGCCTGTGACTTATAATCTGTATCAATTGATATTGTTATGGTGAAATACAGCGAGTCTGTCACTTCTGTTCTGTCTACGCCATACTACGTTGAAGAATGGTTTCTTTTTAAAAGAAACATGTATATTTGACTCGAGTTTAACAATGACACAGGTCGATCCATCGATCATGCGTCATAACTGCCAATTTCCTGCGTGGTCACTCCTTTATTTAGTGATACTCTCAAGATAGATAGCCTTTTTAGTGTGCAATGCCTATCCTCCTTGATTCCCATATTTTTATATCGTCATCTTATTTTATACTTTTTATGTCTGATATAATTTAGCCAGCTTTGGACTTATTATTTAACTTTATACTTGTTATCTATATTGTACTTGATAATTACTCGTTATATCTGCTAGATATTTAAAGATATTAGAATATACTAGAAATACTAGATATCTTTTTGCTAATTATCATATTACTTTTTATATTCTATTTCATTTTACTTTTATTTTTCTCATTATTTAGATAGTTCATTTTTCACTTTAACAATATAATACAATCGATAATGAAAGAACTTCTCCTACCTTTTGATAGTATAATATTTTGAGAAATTCGACAAATGAGTCTACTGACTAAAGACAGGAGGTAATATTGAAAATAAAAGAAAGAGAGAAGCCCTAGAAGACTAGAAAAAAAAGATTTGGTGGCAAAGTTGAAGAGGATCCATGCTAGTAGATAGAACTCTATAATAATACTACCAAATGGAAAAACTGGACAGATAACGAAAAACAAGTAAGAATAGATAAGTATTTAGACAAAACTGCATTAAAATGGTATTAAGATAATTGGAATCGCTTTATCTGTTAGGACGATAAGTACGATAATGAAGAGAGCTTTGTAGCAACATTTATGCAGCACTTCAAAATGCTGGAACGACATCATCAATGGTAAAAAGAAAATAGAAAACATAAAGTAAAGAAAGAACAAGAAAGTATCTGAATACAATCATAGGTTTGTGAAGCTGCTCGGAAAGCTCTACCCATGGAAGGACTATGTCAAAGAAGCTTCAACAGGTTGCTAGTGTTAAGATTAAGGGAAGAAATATTGATGCAACCTGTCGTTAAAAATGCAATAATGCTGGAAAAGACACTTGAAGTAGCAGTAACGATAAAAAGAAATGTGAATGAAAAAAGAAAGTTAGAAGCTCGCATCTGAAAATTAATAAAGCAGGTGCAAAAATTGGGAATAAAGTCAACCAACTAGATCTGTTGTCCTTATGGAAAGGAGTGAGAATAGTCAAAGATGCCGACTGAAATAAGAGAATGTAATTGTAAGAAGAGAAATTACAATACCAGGAATTGTTCAAGAGAGGACAAGTTTTTCCAAGGGTCATCTAAAACACAGCTTGACAAGAATAAAGTGAAACTGGGACATTCATCTGGAATCTTGTATACTGCAAATGAAGCCCAAAACAGAATCCTAGAGATAAGGGATAATCGTCAAGGCAAGACCCAAGAGAACAACATAGCTACAAATACAGTCAATAAGGAATTGAAATGTACCTGTGAAGAGATTCGAACAGCTAGTGATGAGGACGTCAGAGCACCAAGTGAGGAGGAGCAAATGAAAGTATTAGTGATAGGAACATTAAGACCGCGAGAGCTGAAAGCGAATTAATAAGTGATGAGAAGTTGATAACCTTAGATTAAATGGTAGGATGTTATAACAAAAAGAGTGTGGAAAACAATCATCCTGTGAAGACAAAGAAAGAAGTAAGATTTGACCCTCGAGATGATAAGAATGAAGTGGTAAAAGTGCCAATTGGTACTATTATAATCAAGAAATACAAAGAATCTAGTGGAAAAGAAGCTGATGCATACAAAGTAGAATTGGGTTTTTGCAATTATGAGATCATACTTACTGAGTGAGAAACCCATGAGATTGAATCAGATCATCTTAGCAACTGTGATAGCCCCCCACTAATGGTACCAAAAGTGATAATAATTGTAATGGAAGACATATCATGAAAATTACTACTGATCATCGTAATTAGGGAAAAGGACACTATACTGTATAAAAAAAATCTCTAATGACAAATCTGACCTTAGGAACACTCACTTTGCAACAAGGAAAAAGAGTGAAGATTCTTGAACCAGTAATTGGCAATTATGGGAGGCACAGAAGAAGTCCTAACTGCTAAAATGTGACGATTACATAATTCGATGATGATCAACTTGCATCAAAAGAAGATCAGATGAAGAAAGAGAAAATGAATATCCATACAATTAAGAAAGTCAAGAACTAGATGTCATCAACAGTTTATCACCATCTACAGCATAACTCATCACAAGTTAATCAGACAGATTATCTTATGCAAATAAAAAGTGTCAGTATGGCTAATAATTATTGATTATATTTATGATTATAATGTACTTAAATAGGAGGATGAAGAGTGGTATATTTAGATAATAATAAAAACACAGGTATAGTCTAGTGAGGTGAGGCCACGTGGTACATGGGTAATTTACCTCGAGCGAGCGGCTATTAATGGCATTGAATAATCCAGCTCTCTTAAAATTATTATTTATCTTATAACAACTTATTTAAGAAGTAAAGAAATTATAAAGTATTAGTTTGTGTAATGTCAAACATTGCCATTAAATTTATCAGATTTGTAAAGGTTTATACATAATTTAAATACATTAGGGCTTCTAACAATACCACTTTGATACCAGTTCGATACTTAAATTTATTATAAAAATATATGAGTAGGTCACAACCCATATATTAAATTTACTATAGATCAGTACTATTTCGATACCAGTTCGATACTTTTTCAGAATCCTAAAATATATATTTATATAACTTTAGTTTATTTTTATCTTTTATTTACTTAATATGTTCTTATAATTTTTTTTTTTTAAAGAGCTAAATTGCGATACATGCAAGGATTTTATTATTGTCAAATCAATTAAGATTACAATTATCTATACATGAACAGTCTATTAACTATTGCTAATATTAACTCATGTTACTTATTCTTTTTTACCAGAATACCAACTTACATCAAGTAGGTGAATCTATACCCTGGTTTATGCTTATAACTCCCTACTTGTAAATATAAGGTAAGGAAAATCCTGTACCAACAATAAAAAACCTTTCTAGCAGTTTCTTTTTTGGCTTATAATCTGACTCTTTCTGAAAATTGGATTACTAATCCAGATTGCATCAATATCAAATAGGGAGATAGAGGTCCAATCGAATTTCAGAGTCTGCCGATCCAGTTTGGGGTACTAGCTGATTGAATACAACCTAAATCAGAAAACTAGTCAACCTGAATAGGAAGGATGGTAATACGGAGTCTGCCATTTCAGTTGGAGTTGTGGGCTTATATCAAAGTTAGACCAGAAGTCTTTTCTTGTGCAACCTTTTCTGCTTCAACATGATTTTAGCCTGCGATCGTCAGAAAGACCAGAGGTCTCATCTTCATGTAGCCTAGCTTGATTTAGTAAATGATTTTTGGCTGATTGGGTACAACATATATTGAAAGCCGGTCAACCAATTATGAAGGTGATAAATTTTTGTAATCAGATAGGTTTGAACTCTAGATCTTCTCCTGGTGACCTATGGAGCATTACTACTGTACTATAGACCTATAAATCTGTTCTTATAAAATTTTGTACATGCTAATAATTATTATAATTTAATAATAAATTTAAACTATAATAAATTTGGCTTCTTGTTTCAAGATTGTAATGTGATTTCAGTCCGATTTTGATTAGTCATTTAGATCTTTTGTTTTCTTCTATCTTTGAATCTAATAAACTACTATAGACTTACTACAATAAGTATACTTTGCTATGGCTGCAAGTCCAAGTTTTGAATCTTTTAAATATTAAGATATAGGTAATTAGGATTTGTATCACTCTTTATCTCAGAAAAATTTCAAAATATTATATATAATCAATAAAGATTAGAAGAGATCAAATACTTTTGCAGTATACTATAAATTGTTTTGCTAAAATTCATTGACCAAGTATAGTTTATATTGTATTCTAAGATCTGATTTTTTTAGATTTCACATAAAAAAAAGTTATAAAAGATTCTTCAAAGTAGTGAAAAAATTGTTTTTTCTGATCGAGTCTATCTTCTGCTATTATTTCTTCAGTAAAACTTATATTTGTAATTATTTTAATTGTTCTATTAATAAATGGCTTCAATATCAGTCTAATAATTTTGGATAAAATTTTTATTCTTTGCAAAGCTTTTTTGAGCATTGTTAAATTAACTGTATTATATACTTTTGCTATGTCTTGAAGTAAAATCCAAAGCTTTTTTTTTTCTTCTTTTGTATTTTTACAAATATTGTTTAAGAGTTAAATTGGATTTAGAGTACTTTTTTCTAGCAGTCCAGCAAAATTTGATCTTTTTAAAATATTTTTGGTCTTACAGATTGTTGCTAATCAGTTGTTGATAATTTTTGTAAAGCATTTTCTTGTCACTTCTAGAAGTATAATAGATTTGATATTATTTAGGTCTTCTTGTTATTTTCTTTCTTTGAATATTGAATATAGAAAATTATTCTTTCAAGTGAATTGTGTAATGCTATTGTGGAAGTGGTACGGCGAGTCAGTCGCTAACTGATAATGAAATTCATGGAACAGTAGTGTTAAATTTATTTAACGATAGGGCTTTTGGTGAGGCATTAGATTTGGCCAAGGTAAGTGTTTTCTTTATTAAAATATGAGTTTGAACCTTGTTACATTTACTAAATTTTATCCACTAATTTATACCTTTTTTCCAAGAATAAAATAGAAAGAAATCGAAAAGACAAGAAAAGGTAAGAAATTCTAACACTTTCTTTCGATAATTACATAAGTCAGCCACTAATTACATCATCATTACTCATATTTTTAGGTCACTACTAAGCTCTATTTCTTCAACGCGATACTGGGTTGATCATTGATCACGTGACCCAAACCGCGTTACCCTCTATTTTCTTTCCCTCTCACACTATATTTTAAGAATAAATTAAAAAAATTACTGAATGTTTTTGTTGCTTTTGACCTAAGTTTCAGTGCATTTTGTATTTGATTTTAATTGGACCTGTTGCCTTGTGATTGGAAAGTTCATACAGTACCTCTTTAAGTTTATTTAGGTTTTTTTTTTTCTTTTATCTTGTTATATTATTTTTTTTGAATTTCTGTTTTGAATTTATACTGGCTTTTTTATTGTGTATCAAGAAGATCAAAGTTGATATTTCATTTTCTAAAGATTTTTTGATAATAAAGTCTGGTTTAATGAAAAATTTCTTTTTTTTTTAGTAGTTAGATATTCTCTTCCTATTCATTAATTATCTTAATTCTATCAATTATTATTTTGTTTCTAAAATTGTTTGTTAACACTTGAACAATTTGGCTTTGGTTGTTTTTGAGGTTGGCATATTTGGCTTCTATTGTTTTAACAATTTCTTGATTAATTTTTCTTATTTCTTCTTTGATACATGTTTTTCTAGCCAGTTGTATTAGTTTTCAAATATGTTCTTTGATTTGATCTATATTATCAAGACTCATTTCAAGATTTTATTAAAGAGATATTAATAGTAGTTGTAATTCTAATGTTGCTAGAATATTGATTTGTTATGTTTTCAATTTGTTATAGGATTTCTATTAATATGAAAATTTGAGTTAAGTTCTTTTGCAGTTTATATATGCTGCATGTTATTTGTGGATCTTGAACAATAGCTTCTCTTTATTATTTATAGGTTTTTTTGTGGCTCTTTGAATGCCTTTTGTGTTTTGCAGATTGTATGAAGCTTGTTGAAAACTATGGAAATAATGATTTTATCAAATAAATTTCACAAGTTTTGGATTTAATTGAGCTAAAAAATATTTATAGTTTCTAGTTTGTTAAATTCTTTTGGGATTTCCTGTAACTTAGTATTAAGAATTTTTTTCTCTACTTTCTCTTTGAATTTTTTTTATTACTGTTTAGTTGCATTCTCAAGTTTGATTGTTTTTTTGTATTGGAGTTTTTTAGTATTGGAAATTTGCAAGTTGAAATTGAGATTGTGAAAAAGAATATTCTGAGTAATATGAAGTTCTAATAGAGATAATCACTATTCATGATTTTTGTAAAGTCTCAATTGTTGAAGTTAATAATATTGTTAGCAATAAAAAGTATCTCATAAATATAATTGATTTTACTTAAGCTTCAATAATTCTTTCAAGTATATGTTGTATTGTTATTTTTTCATAATCTGTAAAATCAATGAAGTTCAAGTCTATGAGATAGTGGAAGAAGTTTATTTCTGGATCATCTGAAGAGAAAAATTTGTTATTGTCAAGTAAGATATTTTTGTGATCAAGTTTTGAATTTATTGTATCATTAAAATCTTTCATAATTATAATTTAATATTGTTATTGAACTTTATCTTGTAATATAATATAAAATTCTTTTTGAACTTTCTTACTCTTTTTTTTTTTTTTAAATTACAAATAGATATTAAATGCAAGACTTTTATTAAATGAGAGGTTATAGCCATTACATTAAAGATCTTTACAAAAGTGAGTTAATTCTAGCCTATTGCAACTTTTTTTGTTAATACTGGCTTACACCAAGTAGGTGGGCACATGTTAACAGTGTTGAATAGCTAATGCCTATTTAAAACGATGATACAATTGTAAAAGTGAAGATATTTTTATCAGTAAAATTGTTGTTAATTACTAATGTATTGATATTTTATAAAAGGTTATGTTATTGTTTTTGGTATTATTATTGAATTCCATGACTGCTGTTTTTTTCCATTTAACTTCTGAGATAGGTGATATAATGATTGTTGCTAATCACTTTTTTCAGACTTTATATAGAATTTTAAGTGCCTTGTTTAACATGTTACCTTTACTGTTTTGGATTTTGTCTAAAGGAG